TTTTATGTATTTTTTAATACCAACATTCTGAACTCCTTCTCTATATTCTCTATAAGTGTGGGAAATGTCATTTGTATTACACTAGTAAGTTAATTAATTAGTTAGCTATTTTTCAGAAATGTTTAAAAATACCTTATGAATCGCTTGGTTATTATACCGGTTGTGCCTGTTTTGAATTTAGAATAATCGTCGCATACGTATTCCGCAAACGACTGACTTTAATTTAGTGATGGTAGTATTTGTTTAATTTTTCTATATCTTTTTATAAACAGGTGTGGTTGGTTACGTCTATTAAGTATGCTTTGTTGTTTATGTTATCAATGTATATTAAATCTAGTCTATTGCTTGCGACGGTAAAATTTGTTTAGACGGGCATTTCCCATATTATTTTACTTGCGACTGATTTAACGTTTTAGCAAGACGCTAGTATACATATTGAACGAAATAACTGTGTAGTTACTAATCGTTACCAATAGCTCGATATTATCATGTCAAAATATTCATTAGTGTCTACTAATGAATATTAGTAGACACTAATGAATGTCCTACCTCTTATGAGTCCGCACGGGTAGGTACCACCACTCTGCCTATTTCTGCCGTGAAGCAGTAATGCGTTTCGGTTTGAAGGGGCAGCCGTTGTCACTATATTGAGACCTTAGTACTTACATCTCAAGGTTGGTAGCGCATTTAAGTTGTATGTCTAGGGGCTCCAATAACCACTTAACACCAGGTGGGCTGGTAGCTCGTCCACATATCTAAGCAATAAAAATAAAAATAAAGGTAAATTCGATAAAATTTCTTACTTTTAATGTTACCTGTTACCAATTACAAACTGCTAGCTAATTCATATCAAGTTCGCTGTGATTATCGCTAGGAGTGTGATATACGCCCATTCATTGAAAAGACCCACGCGTCAACTATAATAAGACGAGGGTACTGTTAAAAAACAACTTCGAAGCGCCAACGAATACTGTACAAAGATTCAACTCGATCTGAAAAGTCTCAGTGTTTCCTTGACCCGCTTGACGCTGAGTTTCGGGACATCTTCAATATAGATTTTTGTCTACGTTTAAAAAAAACTTCTTCACTCTTCATAATGTGTAATACGTAGTACACAGTAAGTCCATAGACACAGTCTACTGACTTTCTCGCCGGATCTTTTCAGTGGGTCGCGATTCTGATTCGATAGTAGATTCTGCGAAGCACTGCTCTTTTTAGGGCTAGTGTTAGCAATTCTCTCAGGTTGAACCCGTGAGTTCACCTACCCGTCCGGGCGTAACTGGGATAGCCCCTTAGGCTACCAGGGAATAGGTAGGGATCAAAAAGACAATAAACGAAATAATGAAGATAATTGTTCAGTAATTATGAGAGTCCGTGCCTCTTAACTTTGAATTTCAAAGTAGCCAGTCGTCGAGAGTAAGAAATTCATAATAATATAATATCATAATACCTAACCCTTTTCTAGAGTCTTTCTGAAAATTCAATTATTTTTAACAAATGTTTTTCAGCGTCCCTTTAAAATGTACATTTTTAATTTTGGCAATTTTGAACATTAATGTTCAAAATTGCCTTAAAATCCGTAGCTTAGAATTGGTAGCGGAGCCACGTCAATTATGATTTTTTTTTTGTAAGATATGTATGAAAGAAACTAGGTGTGTATCTAGGAAACGCGGGTATCCGAATAGTTAATGTAAAGATGATATGATAAGCTTATACCAACTTTTCTCTTAGCGTGATAAGACATGATTTCAAGTGAGACATTACACTATAGGTTATATTAAAATCGGTTCGACAATTTGATACCCACGGCAGGTTCTTGAGGTCGAAACAATTGCACAAAGTCTGTACTGCCATTTACAATGAAACGCGTGATTACTTTGCAATTAAAAGAGGCATGAGTTGGATCACTTGGGCCCTTATTACTTCATGACAGCAATTGGTTGTATCCTGTCAGCCTGGTATAGCAATTGAGACTCTTTGATGTCTATCGCCTTCGGTAACCGCTTAACACTAAGCGGGATGTGAGCTAATAGATCTACGCAAAAGTAATGATAGAAATGTAGAATTGAACTTTTTTATTGAGACTCAAAAATCGTATATCAAAATAGATAGTGTCACGACAAATGAGAAGATCGTTCCTTCGTCCCGAACACAATAAGCGAGTTAGTTTAACGAAGTTGGATCAGACAAACAGGAGCGACATCAGACTGTCTGACGTCATTAGAAATAATCTCGTTAGTACCACTCGAATACAATCTGAGCATATCCCGAAAACGTTATTGAGTTACAGCCGGTCCGTGTCACGAACAAACTTTCGTCTATATTTGTATTGTATTACATTGGTTATTCGAACGTTTTTTCTTTATATATGTATATTTCAAGCACGTTTTTAGTGTGCCTATAATGTATTTGGTTAAATCTCTCTATATAAAAATGAATTACTGTTAGTTAGTCTTTTTTTTTTTTATTGCCTTTGTAGGCAGACGAGCATACGGCCCACCTGATGGTAAGTGGTCACCGTCGCTCATGGACGTCAGCAATGCCAGGGGCAGAGCCAAGCCGCTGCCTACCATAAAGTACTCTTATTTTAGTCTTACTCTTATTTAGTAGTACTCTTACTCTTATTTAGTCTCGCTAAAACTCGAAAACGGCTGGACCAATTTGGCTAATTTTGGTCTTGAATTATTTGTGGAAGTCCAGAGAAGGTTTAAAAGGTATAAAAATATGAAAATGCTCGGAATTAAATAAAAATAACAATTTTATTTTTCCTTTGATGTGTCCCCCGTCGGACGGATTCCTTTTGTTTGTTTTAAGTTAATTTTATACAAAAGTTTAGGTCTTTTATTTCTCGATTGAGGCACTACGAAGTCTGCCGGGTCAGCTAGTTCATAATAAATCATAAGTCTCATGCACCAAATTAATAATGCCCTCTCGTAATTTAAACTAAATGCCCTTAAAATTTACTCACTATTAGCAGTGTCATTATTAATCTCTGTGTATAGCCAAACCACTCTTCACCGTAGTGTTCTGCTCAGTGCCCTATCCATGGTATTCTCGTGTGAACTCTGCTATGTTTTCAACAAAGCGTTGCTGTACAAATTGCAGTACAACACGTTTTGGTTTTTTTTTTTTTTTTATTGCTTAGATGTGTGGACGAGCTCACGCTCTCACTAAGTGAACCACAGTGGGTAACTAAAGCATGGCATACCGCAGCGTGGCTGTCGTTGAGCATAAGTATAGGCTTTCCTACCTACCTATTTACTAGTAGGCTCGAGGGGATATTCTGGTTTTACTGAACTGAAACAGAAGCTCACGGTGACCAGCCTGAGACACTATTTATTATCTGCCCAGCAAAACCAGTGCTTCGCCGAAATACCACCGGATCGGAATCGCGAGCCACTAATAAGATCAGGTGGTAAGAAACTCAGTGGTCTTTGCCTTTGGGATAGGCTAGTAAACTCAAAAGTTTGAACAATCCGTTGTTAAATTTTAAATTAAAACTCTTAAATAATTATGAAGCAAGTAAAATGTTATTAAAATTTTACATAGATTTAGAATTATTAGAAACGTCCAAAAAAAGCTATTAGACTTGACCGTGCGCACTAAAATTAAAATAGATTGAATGAAATGAACGGGTCACGAATATGGCATCAAAGTTAGGCTATTTCTCAAAACGAGTTCACATTATAACCCTAAAACACGTTAAGTATAATTATGATGTAGTAGGATGTAGTAACTTGAAGCTGTAGGTATTAAAATGTGGAACAGTCTCCTAATGGCCAATAAATCTGTGTGTAATCATGATGTATAGGGAATTCGTGCCTTTTATATTTTGGGGAAGTCGGGTTTTTCGTCTGAGTTTATTCGTGTTTCGTTCGAGGTTTAACTAAATGGTTGATGTCATTAATTTCCCCGTCAACTTCTGATTGTTATATGTATGACCGAAATTCAGAGCCTTTATTCAGAATCTAATTTTTATTAAATCGTATAGTAGGTGTATGATTAAATTCGTTTGTATATATTGGTACGATATTAGCGACTGTGAGCAATGGTAAGCATAAGGCTCTATGTTCAGAGATAATGCTCTCACTTCTCTCAAACCTCCACAACGATGTTGTCAAGGTTAAAAATATTTTTACTAAAATGCATTTATCATTGATGTAATTTTGTTTCACTAAATATCTGGGTTCAAGTACCTACTAAATTTAGAATTTGATTCTTGTATAATAATAATGATATTCTCTAAGGTTTTCCCCTGACGCAGAAGTGAACAAGATTACTTTTACCATTTACTCGCGCTTAGTCGTCCGTGTCTACGAAAAGTATCCGAAACCTTAGTAAAACCGGAAAAGTAGTTTGAATAAAGTTATTTCTACTTATAAATTATTGATTATTTTTTAAATTATTTCGAGTGCTCCTTTGCTAATAAAAATGAAACTGATAAAGTTTGAGTGGCAAATTAAAAGTAATATAAAGTTTCTTAAAAGCATTTTTTTGTATATTTTGTCTGATTTCTTTGTCGTTAGTTATCGCTAATTTCACAGGCAATGAAATAAGACTGAAATGTAATCGTATGTAAACGGCCGTCTGGTGTAGTGGTAAGTGACATGGTCACTAGACAAGAGGGTCGCGGGTTCGAATCCCGCCAAGGGAAGATATTTGTATGATAAATATAGATGTCTTTTCCAGGGTTATGGATGTATATTAAATATATATATGTGGATAATAAAATCTTACATTTATTTCCGTTATCTGGTACCTGTAAAACAAGTTCTACACGAACTTAGCACGGGACCAGTCAAAGTGGCGTGATTGTTTTAAAAAAAAAAAAACCAACATTTTTTAAAATCATTTTTTGCTGGTACATTTTTCTAGTAATTCTATATATCCGAGAATACTTGAATGATGATACTGATGTGAATCATTTTTATTTATCTCAAGCGCGCCCTGACTGCGATGTGTTGCCACAATTACTTATTTTTACTATTTTTTAATTTCAGAGAGTTTAAATTGGTGCTGAGGCCAGATCCGTCATCAGTATTCGCCGACGGTGTCCAGTTTCATAGCTCGTCAGGCGAGGTGGATTACAACACGGCGCTGGTCTATTCGGGAAAACTCGAAGGTAAATTCTTAAAATGGGCGAACTTAAGATGCCTCGTATTCTAAGTGTACGCAAGTTAACCCAAAATTTGGTCAACACAATTTTGAAATTCATAAAAATTTAAAATTTCACGGCTTAGTTCATTCAGCTGTTTTAGAGTTTATTGTGCATAAAAGCAGAGACAAAAATTACATTTGCTATTTATAGGTTTCGTTAGGTATAGTCTCCCGGCAGGAATTGGAAGAAGAGGAGGACCCCGGTCTTCCTCTTCTCCCTCTTCTTTTCTGGAGGCGCCGGAGTCCTACATAATCCGGTCTGAAAAAAATTAAAAATCGCATTACCTGTTCGTAATGAAGTTACACCATTTCTTTCCGAAGAAACTAGGGGCAAAAAAAAAAAAAAAATCACACCACAAACTGAGGCATAAGTCTAAAGTCAACTATAAACTAATACAATAACAAGTTTTCGTCTCCGCTAACGTAAAATGCCAAAACCGAATCGTTAATAATGTAGAGTTAAACAAGTATTTTTTTTTCCTTCTATTGCTTAGATGGGTGGACGAGCTCACAGTCCACCTGGTGTTAAGTGGTTACTGGAGGCCATAGACATCTATGACGTAAATACGCCACCCACCTTGAGATATAAGTTCTAAGGTCTCAAGTATAGTTACATGACCGCCCCACCCTTCAAACCGAAACGCATTACTGCTTCACGGCAGAAATAAGCAGGGTGGTGGTACCTACCCGCGCGGACTCATAATAGGTCCTACCACCAGTAAAATGTAATATGGTCAGGACGGGTTACAAATTACAATAGCAATTCGAAATGTGAACGTTGACTTTTTACAATGAGTAAAACATTTTTTCTGTATCCGCATAACCGTGTTTCGTTAAATTGGTTATCAATCGAGAATTATTTTCAGTCAATAAAATCAAAAGCCCTGTCTGAAGAGCAGTTACGTAAGTTTTAATGTGGACAAAATCAAATGAATTAAATAGCCTTCGTTTATTTGTTATCGGTCAATCTCTATTATGTGCGCCGTAATTATGTTTCACGAATTATTTTACAAAGACGGAAACGGAATAATTACCGTGCTAAAGACTAAGATCGGACGATAACGAACAAACAAATATCACATAATGTACTCACAGCATCTGATGAATTCGGTGATGCAATTCTGTTTCTTTGGAATCTAGGTAAAAGCGAAACCAGGGCTAGTGCGTTTTTGTTTTTATGTGTTCGGTGGTTTTATTTGAGGTTTTCTTTACGTCATTGTTTTGAAACAATAACGCTTTTGTATAATATCTGAAATTTAAAAGTTTATTTTAGTAAATAGCAAACTTTAAATAACTTAATTCAGTTTATTGGCACATATTAGAATAAGAGCATATAAATCTATCTATCTATAATCTATAATATTATATCAACCGATTTCAATATTCTCGTTTAACTCTAAATCTTTAGTATTCTATGGAGGTAGTAGGCTTCTTTCTATCGGACACGTGTTGTTCTTTAAATACATAGTCATATATACGGTAAAACGTAAAAAATATATGATATATTCCTACAACCAGTAAAATTATTTTATAATCCCACCTCTTGTGAGTCCGCGCGGGTAGGTACCACCACCCTGCCTATTTCTGCCGTGAAGCAGTAATGCGTTTCGGTTTGAAGGGTGGGGCAGCCGTTGTAACTATACTTGGGGCCTTAGAACTTATATCTCAGGGTGGATGTCGCATTTACGTTGTAGATGTCTATGGGCTCCAGTAATCACTTAACCAACTGGGCTGTAAGCTGGTCCACCCATCTAAGCAATAAAAAAATAAAAATATATATATAGGCACCGCTTTGAAACCGCCACGAAAAAAAACATATACCATGCGATCGTGACCCCGTAATAAGAGCAGACAGCCCTATACAGGAAGGAATACTCGTATTCAACTCGACTCACGTGCGAAGGCGCTCGTTTGTGCCAATTCACGCAACCTTCCTTACGTGAACTGTACCGACGACTACCGTGTTACTAATGTCGCTTCGAATTTATTGAAAAATTACCTGCTTCGATACTTGTAGTTACGAGAAATCAGTCGAACGTTGTACAGAAATAAGAATTAGATTTAAAGATACCTTGCTAAAGGCACGTGTGTCTAGACCAAGATGCGTAAGTTTAAAACATGATTTGCTAAGACATTGTAATGAAACGGCATTTCTTTTCGATTGGAGTCCTCTATAGTTTTTTTTTTTTGCTAAGATGGGTGGACGTGCTCACAGCCCACCTGGTGTTAAGTGGTTACTGGAGCCCATAGATATCTACAACGTAAATGCCGCCACCCACCTTGAGATATAAGTTCTAAGGCCTCGGTATAATTACAACGGCTGCCCCACCCTTCAAACCGAAATGCATTACTGCTTCACGGCAGAAGGTATTCGGTTTCGGGAGTGTTTGTGTAATTACTCTTAGTTTCGTATGAAAGATTGTCTGGCACATATTATGACACGGGAGAAAATTTCTAGCCTGGTCGTTGAATGTAGAACAATCATCTATTTATTTTACAACTTATTGAAAAACAAAAATAAGCTTATTGGTTATTTATGTTACGTATAGATCAAATCAAATCAAATCAAATAAAAAAAAATTTATTCAACATAAATGAAAGTACAAACTTGTTGAACGTCAAAAGAACTACCGCCAATTCACAAGAACTAGCCTCCGTCCTGAGAAGAATTGGCAAGAAACTCAGCGGGCATGTCTTTTTTTTTTAAATATGAAATTATTATTTATTTATTTTTTAATATTAGATTTTTTAGAATAATGAAAACCAACAAACAACTCCATTGTAGTGTAAGTTCCTCGATTGAACTATAACAGTAGCATGTGAACTACATAATAATTAAAGCTGCGGGCTTCTAGCCAATTGTTTAAGCTTTCATGAGCGAAGCGTGCGAATACACGCAATGTTTAGGAAGTTTCGATATAAACATGTTATTTTAAACTCAACAAAATTATAAAATAATAGTCACTTGTAAATCCAAGTGTTGTTGGGGAGTGCGCAATGGGAATCGTACAAAATTCAGAGGTCATCAAACTCTCGCTACCGAACAATATCAAATTAGTTTGGACCTTCGATTTCACAACTAAATATTATTTTCCAACTCATTACTGCTTCACAATGGAAATAGGCAGGGCGGCGGTACCTACCCGTGCGAACTCACAAGACGCTTTATCACCAATTAAACACACATTTTTCCTTTACATACATACCTAATAGATAAAACTTTATTTAAGTAAAAAAAAAAAAAAAGATTACATTGGACTTATCTTAACAAAAATAAATAAGTACGCTCGTCTTCCACCATACATCCTATCTCCACTAGTGGCTTTCTGCTACGAAAACTTATAAATGGGCTAAGAACGCCTTTGTACAGATTGTTCAGATGTCTTTAAAGTTTATTGTTGTCTGTAGTTGTCCATTGTACAATATGTACGATAAGATTGCGGTAGGCAGCGGCTTGACTCTGCCCTTGGTATTGCTGAAGTCCATGGGCGACGGTAACCACTCACCATCAGGTGCGCCGTATGATCGTCTGCCTACAAAGTCAATAAAAAAAAAAAGATTAAAAATAAGTAAGTAAGTGTTTATGATGAATTACGTGAATATTGTGTGATCTTTCTTCATGCGAGGATAATAGTTATGTTCTGTTTCGGTACCAGTCTCCATTAAAACATTGATTAACTAAACCGACTGCCGTTGTCCTTTCAATTTATACCAAACTCTTATCCGACCTCGATGGGACAACGCAAAGCCACTGTCGCCGTCAAACTCGTCAATTACGACGAAGAGTTCGACAAGCAAACTAACCCATAGACACAGCCCACTGAGTTTCTCGCAGGATCTTCTCAGTGGGTCGCAATTCCGATCAGGTGGTAGATTCTGCGAAGCACTGCTCTCGCTAGGGCTAGTGTTTCCAAATTCTCTCAGGTTGAGCCCGTGAGCTCACCTACCCGTCCGCGCGTAGCTGGAATAACCTTTTAGGTATTTTAGGCTACCAATGAATAGGTAGGCAAAACTAGACAGCAAAACTCTCAATCTGTGCCATATTTCATGTGGCGACTATAATTATCAAAATGCATCGTAATCTCATAAAAAAATGTTCGCGAAATTCAGCGATTTCTCCCGATGATTAAAAAAAGTACTCTTTCATACAAACTTTGATTTGAAATTCAAGAAGACAACGAAAATCAGTCAATTTGGTTGAGCGGTTGTAATGTGATACTCCGACATGCATATGTTAATCTATAATATTTAGCTTTTATACATTACTTTTATATATTAGTTTTTATATTCTTAACTTCTAGTAAGAGAATATAATGTGTACTATGTTCAAAAATGTTTGTAATTATAGAGATTAAGGTTCCAAGATAATGATGAGCATTTATTATGAGGAATTCGTGGCCCTCCGCGGCTTCATTTAAGTGTTTTAAATCAGCGAATCAAATGGAAGTTATAATGCGGCCATTCGTTCATTTTATATTAAAGCATCTCTAAGGCGAGCATTCCTTAAATATAATGGAGAGGGCTTCGAAGAGATTTTCAAAAACAGACTTGTCTTATTCGAAATTAAAAGAATTCTCTCTCCGTGGAATGACATTCATCGAATAACTCTTCGTTAAAATAATTCTCGTAAAATTAAAACTGATTGATAAATCGCGTTATTTTTATTTATTTTTTCGTCAGTTTTGCGAAAATTTAATCGTTTTGTTTAAACGGCTCGCCATTGCGCCGGCCTTTTTAATTATAAGTCCCGGTCGAGATTCTCCCTAAGTTGCCAGGTTCAGAATTATCGTCTCGTTTTGCAAAATTACCGGGTTCATTGAGCGGTCGGAACTCAATTACCATTAATTTCGTAACATTAACGCGGGCGAGCATTAATCTTTCGAAATATAAGAGACTAGCTTTTGCCCGCGACTTCGTCCACGTGGAATAGTTACTTTGGTATAACGCTAAATTTTACCCCCGACTTCATTTACGTAGAAGTAAGTATATTTTTGAATAATAGAATGTTAAGGAGCTATTTAAGGTACCAAAATCATGCTTTTTAGCCGACTTCAAAAGGGGCGGTTATTAGTACTCCGCTCGTATTGGTCTTAGCGTGATGTTATATAGCCTATAGCCTTCTTCAATAAATGGGCTATCTGACACTGAAAGAATTTTTAAAATCGGACTAGTAGTTCCTGAGATTAGCGCGTTCAAACAAACAAACTCTTCAGTTTTATAATATTATTAGTATAGATGAAATTAGGTCGAAATATGTAACAATGCCTTCCAGCTTAATGCAGCCCGAAACTTATTTGGAACGTAACTCGTTTTAAAGTCTTTGAAACAAGCAATTAAACGCAAGCCGAACTTCTAAATTCTTGGTTGAGTTAATAAAACGAAATTATATGGTACGAATGTTACGTACGACCCATCTGGAGATTGGGGACAAACTGAACTCTGACGGAATTACTTCTAAACTTTAATTAAGTTATTATTTCTCGAGACGTTTAACCGACCTCAAAATTCATTGACAAATGTAAATAGTATATCACTACATAGTATAAAACAAAGCTTTCTCTATCCCTATATCTCTATGTATGCTTAAATCTTTAAAACTACGCAACGGACTTTGATGCGGTTTATTTTTTAATAGATAGAGTGATTGAAGAGGAAGGTTTATATGTATAATAACAGTCATTAAATAGTGGAGAAATCAATAATAACATACAGTTTCCGAAGCGGAGCGAGGGCGGGTCGCTAGTAATAAATAAGTAGTAAATAGTGTATCTTGTTAATGATTTTATGGTTTACGCTAATCGCAATATTTCACTATATTTTGATAATAAAGGATATAAGTTTTTTTTCCCACATGTAAAATGAGTTCGAAGTGTAATTAAATTTATTATTACGGTTTATATTATTGTCATTATATTATTTTCGACGTTTCTTTGTTTTTCGTGAACACTGATGTCTATGACTCGCGAAAACCGATGAAAATATTATCATAAATTTTATGTAAATGCTATAATTTTTTATCAAAGACGATAATTTTAAAAAAGACGCTCCATTGACTCAAGCGTATTATTTTACGAAGTCATGTTATGAAGATCATTATTTCTCTGGATTTACAACAGTAGATATTAAAAGGGAATGGGCGTGGTGTAAGGTGGGGTGAGGGTTGGGGGGGTGGTGTTCACAGAGTAGTCAGTAATTACTGTTATTTATGAGCGGTTTCTATCCCTCCCTACTGACTGCGACTGCAAGTTCTGATTTTAATTCATTCAAAGTCCCGAGGCTCTTTGCACCTCGAATTAGTTTGCATAAAATATCGTGAAACATTAATTTAAGTGTCCCCGAGGCAGTCACTCGTTTGTATTTCAAAGACTAATTAAAAAAATATTGGAGTTAATTGCTTAATGAACGTAAATAACTTTTTAAAATATTTCGTTTTGCAGGCGATGATTCTTCTCACGTCTACGGTATCATTACGTCCGACGGTCTCTTCGACGGCACCATTTGGACTCCAACGGAAGAGTATTACGTGGAGCCGCTGTCTCGGTACAATGTAGACCATCCATCCATGCATAGTGTAATTTATAGAAAGTCTGACGTCCAGCACCCTCATGAAAACAACGAAGGCACGCCCTGCGCTTCGCATCTCCTTCACGTGAAACGAACACTCGGGAACAACGCTGAACTCTTCAATTTCACTGAACATCGAACATCGAAAGACGCAACCAGCAATGACACTACTGAGGATTTACGTAGCGAAATTCACAGGCGTAAGAAACGTTGGCTTCCTGAAGACGAAATGCAAGATGATCAGCCAAAGAAAAATCCCGAATTACCATTAGACTTAGACTTTCCCTACACCAGCAACGGCGACCCGTTCGATAGCAAGCTAAGCACGAGGAAACCGAAAACTAAAATTGACAAGAGCAACCTAATAACCAAGGTGCGACTCGATTCCGAAGAGTCGAGACCGAAACCAAAGACCCACGTCGAAGTGATCAAATCGAAGCCCGGCGTCGGGGTGATCAGCAAAGACATCGTTAAGAAGGAGCCTGTCGTGTACTCGGTGCTGACGGCGAACGCCAGCGACGACGGGCGACACGTTAACAAACGGGCCACCGTCGACCCGAAGAAAACCACGTGTCTGGTATACCTGCAGGCCGATCATATGTTCTATCAACGGTATGGCTCTGAGGAGGCCTGCATTGAGGTCATGACCAGACATGTGCAGAAAGTCAATGCAATATATAAAGTAACGGGTATGTTTTTTTTTTTGAGATAATTCCATAATTATTGTATGATGTATATAAACAAACTAATCTTAAACAATTTCTTTTAGATTTCAATCTGGACGGAAAACCTGATAACATAACGTTCATGATCAAAAGGATAAAGGTCCACACTCTGGACGCTCTAAAAGACCCGGCTTATAGGTTCCCTAACAATTACGGCGTGGAAAAATACTTGGAGCTTTTTTCGGGTGCGTAATACTTTCGAATATTCATTCATGGAAAAGGTCGGCCGGATCTCGGGAGGTAATTGTTACAACGCTAATAAACTAAATAAAGTGTACTTGTAAAATAGAATAGGGCCGGCCTCATATTTACTGATTGTGTAACGTTTGAAGATTTACGGACGTTTCATTTTCCAGAGGAGGATTACGACGCATTCTGTTTGGCGTACATGTTTACGTATCGCGATTTCGAGATGGGCACGCTCGGTCTGGCTTGGACGGGCGACCTGAAGAATGCAGGCGGCGTCTGCGAAAAGAACGGGGTAACAAACGCTCAAATTTTAAATTAAGCTTCTCGAAGGAAAATGTCTAATTAAAACTAGTTTGATTTGTCAATCTCGCATGTTTCTGTTGTCATTACCATATTTCTGATATTTCGAATCACGTCGACAGTAATCGAAAATAGTTTTAATTTCCTACGAGTCTTTTTTTTTTTTTTTTTTTTTTTTTTTTTTTTTTTTTTTTTTTTTTTTTATTTTTTTTTTTTTATTGCGTAGATAGATGGACGAGCTCACAGCCCACCTGATGTTAAGTGGTTACTGGAGCCCATAGACATCTACAACGTAGACGCGCCACCCACCTTGAGATACAAGTTCTAAAGTCTCAGTATAGTTACAACGGCTGTCCCACCCTTCAAACCGAAACGCATTACTGCTTCACGGCAGAAATAAGCAGGGCGGTGGTACCTATCCGCGCGGACTCACAAGAGGTCCTACCACCAGTAATTACGCAAATTATAATTTTGCGGGTTTGATTTTTATTACACGATGTTATTCCTTCACCGTGGAAGTCAATCGTGAACATTTGTTGAGTACATATTTCATTAGAAAAATTGGTACCCGCCTGCGGGATTCGAACACCGGTGCATCGCTTCAACACGAATGCACCGGACGTCTTATCCTTTAGGCCACGACGACTTACAAGACTTGCCTTGTAAGGCAATTTCATCTTCACCCTAGCGTGTAACGACGAGAAACTCAGTGGGCTGTGTTTGAGGGTTAATTTACTCGTCGAGCCTTTCGTCGCAAGCGACAGGTTCGGCGAGGACGGTGACCGTGGACGAGTCGTGTAACCGTAGAAGATACTAGAATTCCTAATGTTTCTTGTTTCCTCTTGTTTTGATAGCACTATCGAGGCAGCATGAAGTCATTGAACACAGGCATCGTGACGTTACTGAACTACGGGAAGCACGTGCCTCCTGCCGTGTCGCACGTCACACTGGCGCATGAAATCGGACATAACTTTGGCTCGCCGGTAAGTTTGCCGTCAACACATCGCACATACGATGCAATATTTCTTTTTTTTTATTGCCCTTGTAGGCAGACGAGCATACGGCCCACCTGATGGTGAGTGTTTACCGTCGCCCATGGACTTCAACAATGCCAGGGGCAGAACCAAGCCGCTGCCTAACGTCACTTATGAAAATTTTGTAATTTTTCAGGAGAAACGTTGAAAATTCAACAACTTATATAGTTCTGCTAAACTATAGAAATAAAATGATAATATTTAAACTACAACTTTAAACTTCATCAGTAAAAACAAACATCTCGCTCGTCTCACTAATAACTATTAAAAAAATGCATTTTCTCATACTCAGTTCAGTGTTAACAAAAACTTGCCTATGTGACTTTATAGCAGCGTATGTGCGACTTATGAAATGATTGAATGCGATTTTTCTAGAATTCTAGTGTGGAACAATTTTTTTTAAACTTAATATCTCATAATACAATTTGATGAGATCTTTATTATAGTATTTTTTATTTATTTATTGTTTAGATGAGTGGACGAGCTCACGGCCCACTGCTTTTAAGTGGTTACTGGAACTCATAGACATTTACAACATAATGCCGCCACCCATCTTGAGATATGAGATCTAAAGTCTCAGTGTAGTTACAACGGCTGCCCCACCCTTCAACGAAACGCATTACTGCTTCACGGCGGAAATAGGCGGGGTGGTGGTACCTACACATGCGGACTCACAAGAGGTTCTACTACCAGTATACTATCAATGGTGTTGTTTTTTTCGTGACTCGTAATAATTTGAGTAAAATTTTAAGATATTATTGTTGTAATTTATGATAATTTAATAATCTTGATTCTCAATGTTAGATATAGCGCCATCTATTAGGCTTATATATAGGATACCTGTCATGACCTCTCTTGCCATTTCTTCGTTACATCACTACTTACTTAGTCTAAAGAGTAATAAACCTACTTAATTAATACTGGCCTAATTTATTAATATTCCGCCAGGTCAACAATTATAATCATAAACTGAATTTTTATGTTTTCCAAGCGAGGCTTACAAAGCAGTGACATGGCTCTGAACTTGACATTATCGATGTCCTTGTCTAGCATTGATTATCACCCAGCTGATGTGACTCATTAAGCCAATAAAATATGGCGATGCGGAATAACTCTAATTCACTATACCACAGCATGACCCAGAAATGTGCACACCATTCGGCGAAGACGGCAACTACATAATGTTCGCAAGGGCAACTAGTGGCGACAGAAAGAACAATAATAAGTTCTCCCCTTGTTCCCTGAAGTCCATTGATCCAGTCTTAAATAACAAGGCCAGATCACCTAAGGGATGCTTTACAGGTAAGTAAATGTTCTTCACAAAATTATCATCAGCATTGAAATTTACACGACATATTTTGTTCTAAGAAAATCTTTATCGCATATAGGCTTAAGAGATTATTCATAATTAAAAACAAATTTACTTATTAAGTAGTTAAATTGATTGTGAATCTGATCTAATATTTCTTAGTGTTGCGATCATACAATGTCTAACTTATTACGTATTATTAACAAAGTAATTAACGCACATTTCCTATGCACGTAGCTAACACGATAGTAATGTGTAATTCGTTGTTCGCGATTATTCACATAGAACTAGCTTCGGAAACCGATTTCAATCAGTTTCAAATATAATTTTTTTATTGCTTAGATGGGTGGACGAGCTCACAGCCCACCTGGTGTTCAGTGGTTACTGATAGACATCTACAACGTAAATGCGCACCCACCTTGAGATATAAGTTCTAAGTTCTCAGTATAGTTACAACGGCTACCCCACCCTTCAAAACGAAACGCAATACTACTTCACGGTAGAAATAAGCAGGGTGGTGGTACCTAACCGTGCGGGCTCACAAGAGGTCCTAATGTGGGGGGTAGCCATCATACAACGCAAGATATTTGACAGATGCCTGAATTTCGCTTACGACGTTTTCAAGATAAGCTTGCATATATACAAGATCCGAACAATAACATACGGACCGTCGGTCTACCGAGCAAATATCACCCGCTCGGTACAAGTAAATATCTCTATAGTCGAAAATCTTGCAAATTTGATATCGGTTTTTATTTGTTTTGTATCAGAGCCGCAGCCCGCCATTTGCGGTAACGGCGTGGTCGAGGAGGGCGAGGAGTGCGACTGCGGCTGGGCCTCCGAGTGCACGGACGTGTGCTGTCGCCCGCAAGCAGCGCGCCCTCTCTACAAACCCTGCACATTGACCGAGCACAGCGTTTGCAGTCCCAGTCAAGTAAGCTTACTGTTTTCCATCTATTGATCTAGAAAGTTCTAGAGATGATATTACGTGAGATCGAAGTTTTAATACGTGATTCAACTGGAGAGCGCATTAATTTTAACTCTGTTATTCATTGTTATATCTTCATCGTGGAAATCGTGAAGAATTTTTATGAGTTTACCTATGGTTTTATTTGTGGATAGCCTCAAAAGACCAACACTTCTATCATCAAGGTATTCTAAGTCTGCCAGAAATATGGGAAAAATTTTAATGATTCATGATTAAATGATTCATTTGCAAGCATTATTTCACTTATATATAAACTTGCTTAATCATATATAAAAAATTAACGAGAATATAAATATCGACTCAGTCGCGTTAGTTGTCGCATTAAACTACCCGCATTTTATATAAAAAAATATTTAAATAATATATAGTCTGTCTGCTGTAATATCATAATTAGCCTTTAGTACCGTATACATACTTCTAAATGCTACTATACGATTGTTTCTCTGAAAAACGTTCTTATGACAATATTGCTTGAAGATATGTTATGTGTTGCTATTGTAATATTAAGATGACATAAATCAAACTTGATAAGTATTATTGCTGTCCAAGCTCGGGACAAATAATAAGTCGGTCTGTGGAAGTAATGTTATACATATTTTTAGTCCGACAATAATAATTAGATAAATTAATTGAAAATTTATTATAAAAATAGCGCCAAAATTGTGATTGAGTAAAAAATGCACAGATAATATATAAAAAAATTAGGATAAAGGTTTCGTTTTACGCAGTGAAGATCTTGAACAGGTGCATTTTTAACGTTTATCTTCACCGATATTTTCAGGGTCCGTGTTGCACGGCTTCGTGCACACTCAAGTTCGGTGACAAGTGTCGGTCGGACAACGGGTGCCGCGACGCCGCGCACTGCGACGGCAAGCGTGCCGCGTGTCCCTCCAGCAGACACAAACCGAACAGAACAAGATGCGACAAAGAACTCGTGTGTTACATGGGAGTGAGTGAGAGATCATGTACCTTTATTTTAGTCTATATGTTGTCTTGTCTTGTCTATATATGAATAGGTATGAAAAAAAAGAACATGACCAGACCATAATCCGAGTATAAATTGAAATTTTAATTGTAATGTCTCGTGAGACATTAACGATAAATGCGGCTGATCAACCACACCAAAATCGTATAAATAAAGACGGATCATTTCAGGTTCGCAAATAATTTTAATACAACGTACAGACACACGTACCTCACATCCCGGCCTGTATGTAATATATATTTTTTCCTTAAGTTAAATTAAAACAAAGTTACTTTTCAGGAGTGCACCGGCTCAATATGCCTGGCATACGGTCTGGAATCGTGTCAGTGCTCCCCTCGAAGCGACGACCCTCGGTCCGCTTGCGAGCTGTGCTGCCGCAAGCCTGGCGGGCAGTGCCTGTCCTCCTTCCACTGGAACACCGCCCCGTACGACGTGCCCGACATGTACGCCAAGCCCGGCACGCCTTGCAATGACTACAATGGGTTAGTATATTTACCATATATACATTTTAAAATACATGAGTTTTTTTTGCTGTAAGTTTTCAGATTAACCTCGAAATACCGGCGTCTGTCGGGTTTCATCCTCTTGAATTATCGACTATTAAATGGATCTTGAATCTTCGATTATTAAATGGATTTTTATTTAAAAAAAATATAATTGCGTTTTTAGATATTGCGATGTATTCCAAAAATGTCGTGAAGTGGACCCGTCTGGTCCACTGGCGACTCTCCGGAAGCTGCTGTTGTCGGACGAGAGTATCGCCGGCTTCAAGCGGTGGATGCTGCGTCACTGGTACGCGGTGCTGCTCATCCTGCTGGCCGTCATCGCGTTACTGGTGAGTTTCGATACTTTGTGTACCACTGTGTACTATATTTTTGGGAGTCTGGCAGTTCGAATTTTGTATAATTTAATAATCTATGAACCGATTTGTATTTGTAAGACCTATTTTCTTATCACGTAACTTAAATTAATTTTGATTGTTCAATTAAAAACTGATAATTCTCTTTACGAAATATTTTTGTTAACGTTCATAAAAACTATAAATTAATAAATGTGTAATTTTTTTACAGTTCAATTTTAATAATATTTGTGTGTAATTTTTTTTTCTTGTAATTCTGTACCGATTTCGTATTTTCTGTCTTTTCATATCAATGTTTTAAGACTTAAGTTGTTTGAGTAAGCGTTCGTAAGCGACGTTATGAATATTATTTTGTTGTCTTTTGAAAACAATTTCTACGAAATATTTCTGAGACGATCACTTTATTTTTTAGTATTACAAACGTCTACAACCTGCAACTGCCGCCTCCGCGGTCACGTAGAGTTATCTCGGAATGTGTGTGTCGATTATGTTATATAACTCCCCGGATAAGGTATTATTGTTACAAGTAAAGTGTGCTACAAGTATTGCTATTTGTATATGAATAGAAAACCACTTTCTTTGTAATTGAAATACTTTTTTGTCTGTGTTTTCATACTAGTTACGATGCACAGTAACGTAGGCGTGGTGGATACGTAAAAAAAAGTATGCTATTCAAAACAAAAGTAATCTCGAATTTCTTTTAGAATTATTGTCGAACCTGGATAAGTGAGAGTTCAAAGGACCAATCTCTTTCTCTTTATTTGCTTTAAAATTATCGAGGTACATAAATGAGAGTTGTCACTCATAGAGGCTAAATGAATGATAATACTCGTAATATAATAAATGTGTATTTGTGAATAAATGTATGTATGTAATTAACACACAAAAATACGTAAAGCAATACATTTAATAATAATAGAGCCGAGAAAAAATACAAAATAACTAAGTAAATAAAAAAATAAATGTTACACTTATATTTAAAGACTTATCGAAACTTTTGCGGTGTTTGTATCTTACCGCCCGCGGTCGCTAATGGTGGGCGGGTCGGTACCTAGGGATGCCGCCACATCTAGTAACATTGATAAATTTGCGATAATAAAACGTAATTTAATTACCTACATGTGTAAATAATGGTCCAATGCGAAATTCAGAGAAATTAAAAAATGCGTGGATACATGTTCGACTGTTTCCTATAGGATTACAGATAATCAGCTGTCTGAATTGTAGAGGTCCACACATAAGTATATAAAAAAATCCACGACTCTCTCATAAAAAGGTGTCTAGCCTACCTAATGTTTTCAGAGGTTAAAAAAGACTGGGCCAGGCAATTACACTCACTTAAGGAGCTTCTTCGCTAACCCAGCTCTCACTTAACCAGTTTCGATATTATGTTAATTAAGCTTTCAATTCGTACCTTATGACAAATTTCAGATGAAGATACCAATGCTAGAAGCGCAAGCCCAATAAAAATAAAGGCTCCATTGAAATAACACAATCGTTTGGTTCCAGGTCGCGAGCACCCGTTTCTTCGGTCGTCACGGCAAGAAGCTGAAGTCGGTGACGATCATCCACTCGTCTACAACGGAAACCGTTCGACTGCCCGATGCTGCCGATCAAGGATTAATAGTTCACACTGCTGTCAGGTAATTGTTGAAACTACCCACCCACTCGGTTTCTCGACGGATCTTCTCAATTGGTCGCGATTCCGATTCGGTGGTAGATTCAGAGTAGCAGTGCTCTTGCTAGGGCCAGTGTTAGCAAGATCTCTCAGATTAAGTCCGTGAGTTCGCTTACTAGTCCACGCATAGATGGAACGGCTCCTTAGGCTGCCAATGATTAGAAAGGATTTTTTTTAAACTGAAACTAGTGAGCGTGAATACAATCCTGAATATGCCATTACAGATCAAAAGTGCCATTAAAGAAGAAGGTAGCTCTCAGGACCAGAGCTTACCGCAACAAGAAGGATCTCAAAAACAAACAAGGCGACAAGGCACCGCTCTCAGACGGAGCCAAGAAGAGGGTAAGATAATTAAAATTAAGTAAGTTTTTTATAAGAATCACACACACAATTGAACACACATTAATTGTAATTAATTACAGAAGCCAACAAGTCAGGTCAAACACGAGGAACCGCAGAAAGTGATCAAGGAGACAACGGCGATCGTAACCAGCCCAGAGGGGAAGTCCCCCAAACACGTGATCCTGTCGAAACATAAAAACAAGGTTAAGAAACGGAAAATGAAACTGAAGAAGGAGACCATAGACTACAGCTCCATGCAGAAGCATTCCGCCTCGCCCACGAAAGACTCGGAGGCCCTGAGCAAAGTCCAGAAGTGGCTGTTGAGCTCGCCGCAGCCGACTGTCATACCAAAGTCCAAGTCCATCCCCCTGGGCCTCACGGAGCGGTCGCACAGGCCCACCTCGAAAGGTCCTCGGAAAACGAGACCGTCGAAGAGCGCCACCAACTTGTTGAGCGGAGAAAAGGCGAGACTCCAAGTCGTATTCAAACCGCCGTTCCGGTTCAGCGTTAAGATATGCAAGAGCGACAAGACCAAAGTGGTTCTAGACAAGTCGTCCAAACCCGACATCGAGAGGAAACGCCACGAGGCCGCCGCCCAACATCCCCCCGCGGATCCCAAACTCAACACATTCAGTAGAACGAAACCTCATAATCCCGCTCGACTTGAAAATACGCCTTCAAACGCTTCGACCGGAGAAAAGACACAGCACCAAGATAAAGGCAGTCACGGATACGAAAACTTGTTGCCCAGGAGCGCCAGTGATTGCAAACTCACCAAACAGATGTCCGACGTCAATCTCAGACACAAGAAGAGCAACTCGGTCGGCCAGAGGAAGAGGACCACCGAGAGCAAACAGAACCTCATCTGTCACGAAGACAACGACAGCGCGCACCTTTACGAGAACGTGACGTCACCGGAGACGTTCGCGCCGAAGAGCTGCAGCATGCCGCGGCGACAGCACGGCGCCGCCATCGCGCGCCAGAGCAGCTACGGGCACCTGCCGCGCGCGCAGCCCCGCCCGCACCGCCGCAGCGCCACCAGCCTCGCCGCCGCCGAACCCGACCTCGACCACTTCTACAGCGTCATCGCGTCGCTGCGCCGGGACGGACGCGCGCACACCAACACTGCCAGCTCCTCCGCCTCCAACAGGACCAACACAAACAGACCGGCCGGAAGGAGCTCACGACAGAACAGTTCAGTGGAAGCACCGACGCGATCCAATCCTGCTTCGCCCTCGAAGCTGAAGAGGCAAGCTAGCGAAGCGGAAATCACGAAGCAGCAATGTGACGGCGGCGTGAGGGGCTTCCAGCTAGTTGTGGGGAAGGAGAAACTGAAACGACAGATGAGCGATAACGAGCTATGCAAGTCTCGAGTGCAGCTGGCGATGCCGATGTCTGCGGGCGCCGAGCCGCGCCAGCCGTTCTGTTGGAACAAGCGCGCCAGTCTCGACTGCGAGGCCTCCCTGCCCGGAGCCGCGCGGCCCGCGGGCTCCAGGCTCGCCAACAAGCGCACCTACACGTTCGGCGAACTCAAGAACTCTGTCCCCAACGCGACCTCGCCCCCTCCTGAAGACGTCCACATCTCCCCCGAAGACTTCTTGAAGATAATCGATAACTAGCACATTCCGAGCGAACTCGTAAGCGTAAACATAGTCTTATAATTTTTATATTAAAAAAAATAAATGAACAAATTAATTATTAATATTGTAAATTAGTAATAATCTAATAACGAGATGTAACTATTATCGGCTGATGTAAATATTGTAATTTGCTTTTTAACTTAAGGTCCTATAATAAATATAGCCCGCCACTGAAACAGATCATTGCTCGGCGGAGGGCCCCGCGCCCGTTCTCATCACTACCCCTAGTTCTTATTTCGTTGACGAACAACTAAATTAATTTTAATTAATAAATAATTGCATTATTATTATTATTGTGTTCGAAGCACAGCCAAGCCGGCAATGGTCTAGTTTCACTGAACGATCTCTTGTAAAATGAATCTCTATTTTTTCTACATGCTATGTATTGTACAAATTTACTCTGGACTTATATTGAAAGTGTTCATCGTAGGTTTATTTTGAATTGAACATTTTTAAATGAAATTCTGTTCGTTGGTTTTTTTTTAAGACTTGTCAATTATTGAGTCAATATGATTGCGTGTTGTTTTGACAAAGGAAATAAAACACCAAGCTATGCTGTTTCACACAAGCAGCCCTGATCAATTATGACCGCGTGTAGTAGGTTTTTGTCAAAGAAATTATAGTTTGTCTAACAAAACTGACTGACTTTACATTTACTACGTCATATATATATAATTGTGATTGTTTCAACATTGGTTGTGAACGTTTATTTATTTATGTTTAACTATCTGATGGAATCCTGTGGACGGAAAAACAAGAAGAAGTAACAATTAAAAGTCCGGTCCTTAACTCTTCCGGTGTTTATTTTTCTATTTTATATTTATTAAAAATTCTTACTGAATAAAAAAAAATTAACTGTAATTTATTTTTGAACGGTGGCTGACCTATTTCTCGGTTTCTGGAATTAATTTTGCTAATTTTTAATCTACGTATTAGGATGACAATATAGTAGTACATAATAATGTTAATATAATTATCATAATTGTTAATACGCTGTCTAGATTATAAGTACAAAAACGATTTTTTTTATACCCTTTTTTTTGACGCTGAACTGCCATGGGTACGATTACGATATTATCTGTGGTATTTATTTTTATCCAAAGAAATGTCGTCTGCATTTATTTGTAGCTTTTTTAAAAATAAAATCATTGTGTATTAATTAGATGCAGTCATGTGTTTACACGGTAAGCGTTCCGATGTGTTTAATCCGTGCGAAGCTTCGCTGCTGTGGCACAGCGTTCATGAGCTTTGTCGTAGGAAACTAAGGGTAAAAAAAGCATTGTAATGTGAATACTGAAAGTATTTGGAACTGTTACAAATTTGTATTTAAAAAAAAAAAAAAAAGTGTGTGTGTCCGCTCCGACGCACGACTGGAGTTTACTGGATATAAAAAAAGTGTGTGTGTCCGCTCCGACGCACGACTGGAGTTTACTGGATATAAAAAATTAAACGAAACAATACGAGAAATAGTTCTATATTACGACAACACGATACACTACAGATTATTAACAAATTAACGAGACACAAAACAAACGACTAACAAATATATGAAAATACAATAATGAGAGAAACGCGCGATCAGTACGAGGCTTTGTGGCGGACTGCCGGCGCAGCAGCCCGGCGTCACCTGCGATAACGCATTTCGTGTGACATGCGCAATCAGGCGCATAACGCATTTCGTGTGACATGCTAGTACGATTTTGGTCCCCATAATTTTCATACCCCGGGCCTATATATGTAAATCGATTCTAAAGGAGTAAACTCCAAAAATCGGTGTGCTGTCTAAAATCATTTCAAGAACGCAGGAACTTTTTTGACAGCAATTAAAAAATGTTGCCACATTAAAAAATTATATAAGTCGGCGCTTTAACGCGTATCTCGATTAAACATAAACTAGACGATATGACGTCTCCATCTGTAATTTTTAAGTGTATACATTCCTTATGATATTATATTCTATTATTAGTATGTATCAGTGTATATGTTGTCGTAATTTACATTAAAATTTTAGTAAAAGTATTATGTGATTAGATTCTATGGAACTATATGATGGTTTTGTAGTTTATAATGTATTGAAACGATAAATCGGAACTGCGCGTTATGAATATTCATGTAAAGTTGATTTTTTATTACAATCTGATATTTTTTAAGCTGAAACGACCATTGTTTAACTGTATTTGTTCCAAGTGCCTTATGAACAAATCTATTCCTACTGACATTCCAAATATAAGACACCCCTTTTTCAAAGTTGCAGATTATTGTATGTGTTTTCTATGAATATAATCTATACAACATGTAACATATTTAACGCACACCCTCAAACACCCCAATTAGACTTTAATAGTATAAACGCTATGCATACACCAAATATTATTTATATGTGCGTTAACATTGATTATTTGTGAAATTAGTTATTCCAATTTCGTGGAAATAAAATGGTCACCGATTCACACTCAGCTGCGCACGCACACACAGACACCTACTCGCCGCGCCCCTTGTTCAATGCACTTTAATGACCGTTTTCGTATTTGTTGTTTTATTTTAGATAATACTGCAATGTCACTTTTCACTTTATCAAAGGCGGTTATTATCTTATTCTTTAGTTCTTCGGCACTTATTGTCTGTGTGTTATAAACTAGCGATTTAATTCGCCCCCACAAAAAAAAGTCGAGAGGCGTCAAATCAGCTGATCTAGGAGGTCACTGACCGAAAAGACATAGCGAAATACGGGAGATATTTTATTTGCACTATCACTTGACCTCTTATCGATAAGGTGGACGCGGCGTGACTGACTTGTCAAAAATATTTTGTTGACTTCGTTGTTTAGATTTTTCTTTGATCACCGCCGACGCAACCGCGTCGCCGCGAACATCGGGATTAGCCTGCCGTTTATTGTAAGAATATTATGCCGACGAAAGAAAGGGATAGTAATTATTTTTGTATTACGTGGTTTTCTTTTATGTATTGTAGTGTTGCTGTGTGCCGGCGGTTGGTATTGTGTGCGTAGGTATTTTATTTTGTAATAGACTATTAGCCTTGAAATAAGTATCAGATTTCTTTAATTAAATAATATTTTTTTTTACTAATTAGATATTTCATTTTAAAAAGTCTTAATACCGTGACTTACGTTCCATTTTCGTTTCTATGAACTGTTTAGCTAGCTGTGTAGGGTGACTGTAATTTACTTAGTTTTAACTAAATTTTAGAAAAAAAAATTGGTACATAAAAAACAATCAAAATCGATCCAGATTCCGATTCTGAACAAATTACTTTCAGGGTGTGCGTTAATTATGTTACATGTTGTATATCTAAGCTTGCGAAACATAAGTTCTACGTAATTTTTTTAGATGGCTTTTTATTCGGAATCTTATTTAGCCTTCAGCTACTATTTCGTATTCTCGAAATCGAAAATTAAGTTTGTCAACTAATCAAAAATTGTCGACATAAAAGTCGACCTGTACAAATAACAATTTTTTTTTTGTAATTGTAAATAACCTCAATTTTTTCCAATTATACTTTCCCTTCCCGACTATTCCTGGTCTATCCATTCGTTCTGATTCGCTTACCAGTTTACATTTTATTGTGTTAGACTGGCATCAATTCAGATTTCAATTTGCAATGTTTTAACTGATCTCCATGAGATTACATTATGCCTCTAATGAGATGTGTAGAGCTTATTATTTACTATTTCCGCAACAATACCAGTTTATCAAAGTTTAAGTACACAAAATACTGCTAAACCACAGGGCACTGCCAACATGGAATGGGCTGCCAATTGTTTGTAAATTAAAAAAAAATTATAAATTATTTTAAAATCAAAATTGAATTTCACAATATACATATTTACCTGAAATTTTTAATTCGGATTAGATATCAAAATCCGGTCAAATAAAAACGAAGCACTATGCGTCTCATGATGTACGTCACAAGGTATGAATACTAAATACATGAATAAAATTAAAAACTAGTACTGTTGCGTTGATGCGTACATTTCGAAGGCATACCTACCCACATACATTGTCTTTAACTCACGTACTTAATAAGTCTGTAACGCTTATTTTATTTTATTCTTCAGCATATAATTATGTGCTCTATTGTGACGTTATTTTGATAGATACCGAAGAACGATGTTGAATAATCCAACGAATACAAATTTGTAATGAATTCATTATCAACTATAACATACTAAGTCCATATTTTTTCTGCATTTTTAATGAATAAAATGACTCCAACAGTTTCGTCGTATTGTATTATTTTGTAATGTATCTATTATTTTTAATACCTACCCGTAAAACTTTCTTTGCACCTACCACTATTTTCTCTGTATTTACTACCTTTGGTTGACTGGTACTTGGTACTTTAGGTATTAAGTCCGCCAATGTAAATTTTACATGAAGTGTAATAAATAAATAAATAAAACTATCGTTTATCGCTGAAACGCAAATTTCGTTACATATTTCTTCCACGAAAAAGGCCAGTGTGACTATTACAAAGTGGATTACCAACTACGGGGTCTTTATGTTTGAGTAGAATTATAAATAACTAATATTTCCCAAACTACTTAACTCTGGTTAGGAATCTTAAATAGTCTTAAGTGCCATCCTACAAATTAAAATTACAAATAACCCCTAACGGTCAATAAGAACATATACTATATAAAAAATACAAAAAAAAGTGTGTGTGTCCGCTCCGACGCACGACTGGAGTTTACTGGATATAAAAAATTAAACGAAACAATACGAGAAATAGTTCTATATTACGACAACACGATACACTACAGATTATTAACAAATTAACGAGACACAAAACAAACGACTAACAAATATATGAAAATACAATAATGAGAGAAACGCGCGATCAGTACGAGGCTTTGTGGCGGACTGCCGGCGCAGCAGCCCGGCGTCACCTGCGATAACGCATTTCGTGTGACATGCGCAATCAGGCGCATAACGCATTTCGTGTGACATGCTAGTACGATTTTGGTCCCCATAATTTTCATACCCCGGGCCTATATATGTAAATCGATTCTAAAGGAGTAAACTCCAATAAATATAAACCAAAGTATTAGGTACAAACATTAGATCAAATCAAACTGACAAAAAATCAAAACATTGGAGTCAACCATCTGGATTTTATATTAACCGCGTAAATACATTTTTTTACACAATTAAAATTGATTAAAAACTTCTTGTTCGAACTCGTAAAACCCGACAAAATAAAACTATACATATTAGTTGATTAGAAATGTCAAAATCATATATCTATTTAAATACTCGAGGTATAACTTGCAGAAAATATACAGGCTGTTTGGAAAATTAATTAGTTTTTCTTTTGTTAACCGTCAATCAAATCGACATTACAAATTTGTCTTATTCCTGCCATTTCTGAAATGGCTCCCGTACGGTACAGCCTCCATTATGAAGATTATTCTGAACACATGATGTCTAGATTTGGGAAATTATTACAAATGCAATCATTAGTGGACATGACCCTAATGTGTAGCTCTCATACCTTACGAGTACACAAAGCTGTGTTAGCCGCAAGTAGTACTTATTTTCAGGTAATTACTGCTATTTTAAAATGATAAAACCACTTTTAAAATAGGAATACATATAAAACATAAAGAAAAACTAAAAGCACATAAAAATCAGAAGAAAACTTCTCTGTAAATTTTGTATCCTACCTAATGGGACGTGGTCACTGGTCTCATGGACATGGGCGTTACCAAGAAAATAACTATCATTACTTAATAGAAAGCAATTACTAAGTATAAATTCTAATTTAGTTAGTAGTAAACTAATTTTTAAGAAAAAGTAAATATGAAAATACGTGTTCATTATTTTCTACTTCTTTAGGATTGTCAAATGTTCCAACTAATCATTTTCAGGAAGTATTACAAAAACAACCCGGCGAACCTCTTATAATATTGAAAATGAGATTTAACGTTTTAAAATGCCTAGTCGAGTTTATGTATTGCGGGAAGACTCAGTGCTTAGAAGAGAACTTAGATGAACTGGTGTCCGCAGCTCAGTTTTTAAAAATTAAGGGACTATCTAAAGTTACTAAAGAGGGTTTGGGCATTGCCAATAACAGTGAGTTGCACTTGATAATTTTACTCTTTTCTTACTAAAGTCCTCTTTCAAAAACTCAAAATGAATCAACGAGTATTTTCAATTAATAATTACTAAATAATTAGATCAAATTGCGGGTACAGGTTTTTGTAGATAACTAATATTTGAATAGGTTTAGTATTCCTACTTTAATATAGTTTAATACATTTTTTAATTTAAGGATAAAAATATCGCAAATTTGAATTAGTTTAAATTAATTATCGTTCATAAGATTAGACGAGTACTTCTAAGGCGAGAAGGCTGAATTCACAAACGTATCTTCGGCTACCATAATAGTTCAGCGTTAATATTTAGTTTTAAAAATATTTAGTATTATAACAAATGCACCGTATTAGGTGTTGTTTAACATTATTATCGAACCCACTGAGTTTCTCGCTTGTTCTTCTCTATGGGTCGCGTTTCCGATCTGATTGTGGGTGCAGCGAAGCATTGCTCTTGCTAGGGCTAGTGTTTTTTTATTTTATTTTTATTGCTTAGATGAGTGAACGAGCTCACAGCCCACCTGGTGTTATGTGGTTACTGGAACCCATAGACATTTACGACGTAAATACGCCACCCACCTTGAGATATAAGTTCTAAGGTCTCAAGTATAGTTACAACGGCAGCCCCACCCTTCAAACCGAAACGCATTACTGCTTCACGGCAGAAATAGGCAGGATGGTGGTATCTACCCGTGCGGACTCACATGAGATCCTATCACCAGTAAGAAGTAGTGTTACCAAATATTCTCAGATTAATCCCCATGAGCTCACGTCCCGTCTACGCGTTGTTTAAATAGTCGCTTAGGCTACTTACGATTATAGAGGAGAAAAAATATCCTGAAACAACTAGGCTAGTTGTGGTCGCTACATTCGTTAAGTTTGTTTTCAGGCGAGCTGCCCGTCTTTATGCCGCCCGTTGTTATCAATCGACCGCCGCAGTCCCTTGTTGATTTGCATTCGCAGGTACAGTATTAATATTAGGTACGCAATAATGCTTAGGTAATAGTTGCAAAGAAGAGTGCCATTTAATTACATGGTTATTGGTTTATTCGAAGTCAGACACACACACACACACACACAGTCGAACTGATGTGAGTCGTCAGCGTTATTGATGAAGAACAACAATGCCGGGACCACAGCCCATAGTAAGAGGCATTTCACTGAGGAATTTATTGATGGCAAATCTTGTTTGATGACGTAGGTAAATATTATGTCAGTCAGGAAGCAACGTGAAAGAGAAATAATTTCAAAACTTGATAGTACATGACCAAAAATGGTCTCTGCTAAAACTCAGTGCAAAAGTTCACCTGAAGATTATCTCAGGGCACTACCCATGGAACATACGGTACAGAAAGAGAACCAGATGTACTTGTATTTTCTATAGCTTTTGTTAGTAACTTTACATTTTTGTTGCACAATTAGGTTCCTTCGAAGGAGAATGAGGCGAGTCACTCAACGCCACAAATGACGTCAGTCAACTCTAATTCAGCACCACACGGCTTAGAAAGAAATAACAGGGTAAATAAAAGCAATATTTTTGTTATATAATACTCTATTAATGTTGACTGTTGTAAGCTACAGTATATTTTAATTTAATTAGGTACATTATTTATCTATAATCATTTATCGGATGCACACTGAACTATATAGCTTTGTCAGGCATTCCGCACGATCTTCTTTTAAACGCATTCCTGGTGAATATTATTAAGCCCGTAGAACCCAGAGTCCTAAGGGACAGTAAAAAGCTCAATATTTTCGGCAAATCAAGATTATTTAACGTTTAGCTAAGCGTTGAGGAAACGGATTGTGAAATATCATATCAGTCTCATTAGACTATATCGATTCTATTGACTTTTTAGAACTTTGTCCATATTTTGATCGTAACTTGCTTCATTGAATTGGTAAACGATCTCACGATTCACCTGGTGTAAATGAAGGCGGTCACTGAAGTCGATAGATATCAGAATGTGAATGTCGCCACCCACCTTGAGACATTAAGTCGATATCCCAATTTTTATTGGATAATCCGATCCTCCTAATGCATAATAATACACGGCAGAAACAGTCAGAATGCACCTAGTCAAGTTTGGTTTGGGTCGGTTTGTCTCTATTTTTTGCATAATTACTGGTGGTAGGACCTCTTGTGAGTACGCAGGGGTAGGTACCACCTCCCCACCTATTTCTACCGTGAAGCAGTAATGCGTTTCGATTTGAAGGGTAGGGCAGCCGTTGTAACTATATTGAGACCTTAGAACTCATATCTCAAATTGGGTGGCAGCATTTACGTTGTAGATGTCTATGGGCTCCAGTAACCGCTTAACACCAGGTGGGCTGTGAGCTCGTCCAACCATCTAAGCAATATAAAAAAGCACAATACACGTTATATGCAGGACATGGTCGTCAGGATTCCTTTTGACATCGAGAATGGAGGGAGCTCCATGATTGATTACCCGAACGCCCCGCGTGTTATAAAACCTCGACGGGGCAGGCCTAGCATGAGGGTTAGTTTTGGTAGATGTTTATTATCAATCTTGTTGTAAATGTCGGAATCAAGGTGAATATATTAACCGTAAAGTACGAAGACTTATGTACGAAGTGTAGTAGTAGTTGGCCGTGTTATCGTTCGCAAAAACGAGTCATAGTACCCCTCACAACCTTAAGAAAACTCTACCGAACGTTTGATTTAAAAAATCAACTCATTCGTAGACTCCAGGGTCTCCATTTTGTAAGGTAGCAGTTTTATGTTAAAGTTCACGTGAGAACCGACCAAACTAAACGATTCACTGTACGCTATGTATTTCTAGGGAATTGATCGTTTACGTAACATGAAAATTCCATTGAAACATTGGACATTTCAACTCTCTTCTTGCAAGTAGAATTTCTTGGAAGGACTGTCGATATCACACGATTGACCCTAACCCATGCATCAGTCCACTGAGTCTCTCACCGAATCTTCTCGGCGGGTCGCGATTCCGATCCGGTAGATTCATCCGCGAAGAAGCTGCTCTCGAGTTTTCAGGGCTCCTTCGGAGGTGCTCGGACAGCTGTTAGCTAATCCTACCCCTCCTGACTGTGCCTTTGCTCGCCCACCTGTCCTGGTGAAACTGGAAAGGCCTCCGGGCCACCACTAAACCTTAAATCATAAAAAAACAAGATTGAATCCATCTATCTTATTCTAGTTAGCTGACCGCGATATCATTGAGCCGTATTTTCACTGTTGTATGTTTATTTTTTATTTATTTTTTCTTAACTGTGGTGATAGCCTTGAGAGGCTATTTCAGCTTCACCCTAACGTATAGGTGAGCTCACGGGGCTCAAGCCGGAATGTTGCTAACACTGGCCCTGGCAAGAGCAGTGGATCGGAAACGCGACCCACTGAGAAGATCCGACGAGAAACTCAGTGGGCTGTGTCTATGGGTTAATTCGCTGGTCGATCCCTTCGTCGCAAGCGACGGGTTCGACGAGGATAGTGACCGGTGTTTGTGGTACCTAAAAGCACCGTTAATGGATCAGGAGGATCCGTAATGACATGACTTGTATGATGATAATGTTAAATGTGCACAATTCTAGCGATCGGGCTGGGATGGCCCCGCCCCACTGGGCCGTGCTGCGGAACGGGCACTTCTTCGTCGCGAGCAGGACTCGCGGAAGGCTATACATCACTTGAAGCATTTGCAGACTCGACATATGCAGGTGTCACGAACTTAATTGTTATGAAAGAAACTTAATTCCGAGCTGAGATGCGCTCACAGTCGCTCTTACGGATTTCTGTGGCCTAATTATTTCTGTTTTCAGGATTACATGGATAAAGTGACATTATCACAAGCAGTAAATAGCATCTGTGGAATTGACGCACCGAATTACATGGAAAACGACGTCATGTACGCAGATCCAAATGTTTCGGCTAATATAATGGATTCGGCAAGCACATATTGCAAAGATAACAGCGAATCAGCTGCTTCTAGTTATAATAATGGAAAAATTACTAGTCCAAGTAACACTGCCACTACCAAAATGAACACAGCGATGTCTCAATATGTTAACGCATTGAAGAACGCCGGACTCCCGACTGATCTGCCCATACTTTTTGAATCCGGTGACGGCTCCTATATTAACGTCAACGAGCAAGTCCTTCTCGACATGGTGCAGAGCAGCGAAATACAATACGAAGTTATAGAGCAGCCAAACATTATAGAAAAGGTAGCCGACCCATCGGAAATTAAAAGTATCGATGATTTGTCAAAATCCATTGAACGGGGAGAAATGATACTAGGCCAGAAAAACTTTTCGACGATGAATAACTACGACAAAGGCCCCGGTCAGTTTGCGCACCAGGATGCTCTGAATAGCCTCAATGAGATCCTCCCGGACACGTTTGGAGAACAAGAAAGTTATGTAGTTCTAGACTCACGTCTTCAGGAAAATAATAATACTATGGAGTCGATGGGCGCTGCAGATTTCTCATGTATCGATGGCGACATGCAATACTTTACGAAGTCACTTGGCGACGACATCAAGAAATATTATGAAGATCAACAGTTGAATGAGACTCCAGCAAGTGCAGGTTTAGCGACCAGTTTCAATATGTCATTACTGGACACGAAAATATCGCACTTAAACGAAAATCTGAATCAATCTTATAATTCATTAACTGTTGAAGACTTGAGGAGAAACGATGAATACGACTTCGGCTTGCAGCTTCCACAAAACAGCGAATTCAAGGACGAAATCGACTGCTTAATGTCGACTCCAAAACATAATGCGGAAAGCTGTTTCGAAAACGAACGTGCAAACCAGGAGCGTGACGAAATAATCAAAGATCTAATGAATTTGGAGAAGAATGTTAGTAAGAATAAAATGGAGAGCGACAACAAAACTAATATTATTGATGAACAAATTACTAGTGGACGATCGAACATTCAAGACTTTGGTATAAACATGTTCGATGACTCGGACGCCACATCAGAGGCAAATCATGATGTCAACAGAAGTGAAAATCCTTGGGATAGTATCGACAAGGATTCTAATAATGATCACAACCACTTCAGTGCTGATGTATCGCGCGATCCAATAAAAAAACAATTCCCAGAACCTATAAGGGACTTGACTGATAATATCGATGCAAAAGCAGATCAGTCGATTGAAAATTTACTACACGAGTCTAGTGATGTGGGGAGCGCTGATCCTGAATTAAGTAACATCGATACGAATGGAGAAGGAAACGAAATTCCCTTTGCTGTCGGTCTACAACCATTGAAGCAGTCGACATCTGCAAACGATAATTCGTTATTGAAAAGAAAAAGCAGTGAAGACTTTGATAGTTCACATTCTGATGATACTAAGTATTTGAAATGTAAAAGTAAATCTAAAAAATTATGATTAAAATGCTTTTACATGAATAAAGTTTACGAATTTTACTAAACAGGTTGTTTGAATATTAAAACGAATTGTATAAAAAAAGTATTTATTGATCAAAATTTGAAAATTGATATTTTTAAAATACCCTTAATATAATAAAATGATATGGGTATTTTCAATAATTTAAAAAAAGGTATAAAATGGCTCGGATTATCGATAGACTGCAATCTATCATTACTTAAAAGCTAAGAGATTCTATTTGAGTAGTAAAATTATGTTACCCATATCTTAGAATACATAAATGTGTATTTCTTTTACAACCATTCATATTTTCAATGTATCATTTATTTGTATAAAAATATAGTTCAAATTGAAGCTGCCGTACCCAAAAACATTATTCTATTTGAGTCTTAGTTCTAACTAAAGGTGAAATGAACATATTTTATTTTATACTTATTGCGATACATACACTTATTGTCAACTTACATTTAAACTTAAAATTAATTCTCTACAATTTAAATATGGAAAAAATCATAACAGATTTAAAAATCAGTGCAAAATATACAGATCAAACAAAATAAATATTGTGATAGACAGTTACATAAATCACTAGACTTGGGCGGAATAAAAAAAATTACAAAAAAAAAAAATATATGTAAATATTTGTGTAACAATAGTTACTTTTAACAAAATAAAATTATGACGGATATACGAAATAGAACTTAGTATCAAAATACAAAATTTCCTATTCACTTGAATGGTCATGGAGAAACTTAGAATTTAAATTTAATCGAGACTTCGATGGTGGATTACACAAAAATAAACAAGAAATATCGATGCTAGTAGAAACTCGACCGGCTTGTGTCGATGGTTGGACGTGGATCCTCTCGCGTAGTAGCCGTACGCTTCGGAATGGTAGTCTCCGATCTGGAAGGCGATGGTTGGGGAGGACATCCTGCCGTCGCCGCCGTTGGAGTAGGCCAGCACGCGAAGGTTGTACGACTTGCCCGGAATTATGTTGCTGATGTAGGCCTCTAGTTTGTGCTCGATCGGTACAATGGTATCGTTCGCTGTGCTCATGTCTTGGTCGAGCTCCCATAATCGTACCTAAAACGATATAAATAACAGTATATACAGATAGGTATATACAGGTAGGCAGCAGCTTGGCTCTGCCGCTGAGATTGCTGAAGTCTATGGGCGACGGTAACCACTCACCATCAGGTGGGCCGTATGCTCGTCTGCCTACAAGAGCAATAAAAAAAAAAATACATAGATAGATATATTTACATAAGAAAAAGAAAAAAAAACATTACTGCGTGCATTGGAGGTTTATATTGAGCGCTCGCATCAATTTTTATGACCATCCTATCTATTTAGGCTACGATATATTTTTGCGTCTCGTTTTGAAGTTTATTGATTTATATTTATAGTTACAACCTTGTAATTCGTTTACTGAAACTGTTTTAGTTTATCGGATAGCAATAATCATTTTTTAAACTTGAAGCGTCGTTTAGAAGCGAGCGCAGAAGATCCAATATAAAGGTGTTGCGGATGTCAAATGCCTAACTAATAATTATTGTTCAACGTTTGAAACTACACTCCTTAATTGTAACATTAACAAATATATAATAAATATAATAATAATTTTATGTATCCTTCTGGATAACTTGCAACTACAATAGAATGTAAAAAAACTGTAAAACAAAATATATATGTCAGCCATTTTAAGGTTTCTTTCGCATTAATTTTACTAATCGATGGAAGGCATTATTTAAATATATATAAAACAACAGTTTTAAATTTCTAATTTTACATTATTATTATTTTATTGCTTAGATGGATGGAAGAGCCCAGAGCCCGCCTGGTGTTAAGTGGTTACTGGAGCCCATAGACATCTACAACGTAAATGCGCCACCCACCTTGAGATAAAAGTTCTCAAGGTTACAGTATAGTTACAACGACTGCCCCACCCTTCAAACCGAAACGCATTACTGCTTCACGGCAGAAATAGGCAGAGTGGTGGTAAATACCCATGCGGACTCACAAGAGGTCCTACCACCATTATACTATCGATAGTGTTGTTTTTCGTGTCATTATTATTGTAATTTATGGCAACTTTATAATTTTGATTCTCAATGTTAGATATAACGCCATCTAACATCAGTAAACATTTACAACTCCTTACATTTTTCTAGTCTGTTAATTCAGTTTTCCTATTTATAAACTAGTGGTGTGTGCTCGACGGCACTCCGTAACACTAACCTTATATCCGAGCAGAGGTTCCTCCTCGTTGGTGGGTTGGACATACCGCCACACGACGCGCAGGGTGGTGGGGTCGTGGGCCCACACGTTGACGGAGGCCGGGGGCTTCTGTGGCGCCTTGCGGAACGTGCGCTCCAAGTATCGCTCGCTTTCCGGGCCTTCTCCCGCTGAATTGAACGCCATCACCTGGGGAACACACTTAAATGGGTGAACGAGCTCACAGCCCACCTGGTGTTAAGTGGTTACTGGAGCCCATAGACATCTATGACGTAAATTCGCCACCCACCTTGATATAAGTTCTAAGATCTCAGTATTGTTACAACGGCCGCCCTACTCTTCAAACCGAAACGTATTACTCGTGGCAGAAATAGGCAGGGCGGTGATAGCTACCCGCGCGGACTCACAAGTGGTCCTACCACCACCAGTAAAGTTAAAGTTCATAGTTGATCAAATATAAATCATACCTTCACATAATAATATGTATCTGGCTGGAGGCCAACTATAAGAGCCCAATTTCGAGTCGTTCGAGACAAATAGTAGATGCACTCCTCTTCTTTGTTCTCCTGTTTCCAGTACTTGAGACGGTGGCCTATCAGCTTGCCGCGCAGCCTCTCGCGCGACTGATCGATCGGGTTCCAGGTCACGTTCAGAGCTGTGGAGTTAAAGGACCGCGCGGAGACCAGCTGCGGCGCGACCTGCGGCATGTCCTCCGCCGAATAAATGGTTACTACTTCGCTCTCTGGCCCGGGACCTATATCGTTGAAGGCTTGTACTTTGACATCGTACGGCGTGTAGAAATACGTGGAAGATATGTGCACGACGTATGTCCCGATGTTTCCGTACTTCTTAAGAAGCAAGGACTGAAATTCGACTTCGGAGCCGTTCCGGCGCCAGAATATTTTGTAATGTATGCCGGGTCCGTTTTGGAGGGAAGTCGGTAAGGGCGTCCACGTGATTGTGAGGTCACCGGTCTTCCCGCCGCCGCCGCTAACGTTCGCGGGCGCCTCATAGGGCTTGTCTCCCGACGTAGAGAACTGCGGACTCGGCGCGGACGGTTGCCCCGGACCCAGTATATTAATAGCTTGAATTCTAAACTCATATATGGCCCACGGTAGAAGCGTCGTGGAAACAGTGGCTCGTTTACGCCCATTGTATCTATCGACTTCCATTACGTTGGGTATATTCTCGCTGATCACGTACCAAGTTGAGTTCCAGTGGGTGCGTCCGGTCAGCATGTATCCAGTTATAGGGCGACCGTTTGAGTTACTGTCGGTCCACTCTAGGGTCACCGAAGACCTCTGTATGCCAAGTATTTGTACGCCTCCCGGCGGACCTGGCGGGCCCTCTATACGCAGCTGCACATGAGAAGAGATTCTTCCGATAGCGGACTTAACGACACATTCGTAATCTCCCACATCCGAAAGACTTACATTGTAAATAGTTAGCTCACCACCGTCAATTTTTATTCTTTTGTTGACGTACAGATCTGATGAGTCTTTAATCCGCAAGCCATTATGGTTCCATAGATACGCTGTATCTAAAATAGGATCTACATCGGCATTACAGTGCAAGAAAACTACTGAATTCACTTGTGCAGTGATCCGAGGGGGGAGTTTTTCAAGGAAACGTGGTGCACGTAAGACAATTAGACGACCTCTACTCTCATCAGTGCCGTATTGATTCTTCGCGACGCATGTGTACACGCCCTCATCATCTCTGGAAAGTTGTCTAATAATTAAATTCCCATTTTCGGTAATGAATCTTTTTCCTCCTGCCCCAATAACTATGTTGTCTTTTTTCCAAGTGAATGTTGGCTTTGGGGCAGCTTCTGGTTTGCATTTTAATGTCACATTTCCACCTTCAGAACCGTATGTCTCCAATTCTAAAGGATGTTTTTTAAATGATGGTTTCAAAGAGAGCACTCGTAATTGCGCTGATGAGTAACTAGCTTTCAATTGATTCTTTGCTTCACACTGGTACATTCCAGGATCTCTTGTTGGGTCTAAATATTTTATAATCAAAACATTGTCTTGAATAATGTACCTATCACGGTCCTGTGGTTCTAGGTTATCTTTTTTTAGTTTTTTACCATTTTTCCACCATGTGTAATTAACATCTGGTATCCCAAATGCCTCACAGTTCCAATGTAATTCTCCTTTGTTGTCCATATGTTTATCACCAAGAGGAATGGTAAAATTTGGTTCAGCTTGTACTTTTAAATACACACTATTTGATATCCTCGCTCTGTCATTGTGAACATCACAAATATATTCGCCTTCATCCTCTACACCTACATTGGGTATTGTTAAAACCCGGTCAAAATTACTCAATTGAGCTTTTTTAGGTATAAGGCCATTCTGTCTGGTCCAATTATAAGAAGGTACTGGGTAGCCAAATGTGACACATTCCAGGCGGACTTCTTGCCCAACCACTGGAGCTTCAGGAAATACTTTAGGAAAGCTATTTGGGAATTTCAATTGCTGATAATCTGAATGCGGATAAACCTGTAAGGGAAAGAATGGACCATTTCTGCCTTCATCAGACACTTTACTCATTACATTACAACTATAGTTGCCTCGGTCTATTGTTTCTAAAGCTGAGAAATAGAGGCCACCGTCATATGACACAAAGACACGTTTATCTTCTTCCACAAGGTTAGGGAAATAATTCCGAGCCCACAGAATATTTACAGCTGGATAGTACGAAGGAGGATCACAATACATTACTTTACCCCAGTATTGATTTCCACTTTCTACTGGCCTCTTTTGATTGAAATCTCTTATGAATCCAAATGACAACCGGACAGATTCTGATCTAATCGTACCAAACTTGTTTGTAGCTGTACAGTGATATTTTGTATTATCCTTTTCACTGTCAGGGTTATAAATCATTAAAGTTCCTCCACTTAATATAATCCTACTGTCAGCTAAAGGATCTATTTCTGTGTAAACTGGACTGTCAACTTGATAATCTTCTCCGAACCATTTGTAAGTTGGAGCTGGAAATCCTCCTGCTATACAAGTAAGTTGGACATAATGATTTCTTAAAGGATCATAAACAGTATCTTCCGGCTGTTTTACAAAATATGGACCTCTCGGAATCCTTTCTGGATCATAAGTGTCTAAGCCATAAGTGAATGATCTTTCTTCTTCTATTAAATAATGTAAACGCTGCATTTGCCCCTCACATATAAAGTGATAATATTGTGTACCTTCTACAGCAGCTAAGCCCCAGCGTCCATCTTGATGTGAAAATTTGTATACCAAAAAATCTTTAGGAAATATATTATAACTATTTAATGAAAATTGTCGATCGTCGAAGAAAGCATTCTCAAGACCTGTCAACTGTGAACCATCATAATCATTGGACCAATAACCTGGAGACTGTTGGTGAGCTCCTATATACCATGAACCCTTCTGAGGGTCGAGCCTCATTAAATTGTTTATTATAAAACCATGTTCTTCAGGGCTATTGACGGCTACTAAATCAGCTTCATAGGCTTGGCATATTTTTCTTGCTTCATTTCTAGGACGATCAGGAGACTTCGTAAACCGATAACATGACTCTTTGTAGCGGAGCCAGTTGGGTGGACATCGGTACTTCTCTTCGTAATCTAAGCCAGCATACACACTCGCAGTATTTTCGACATCATTTTCATTTTCAGCATAGCTGTCACTGTTGTAGAGGCTGTCCTGGTAGAAAGAGCTTTGAGGCGGCTGTTGATATTCATTATTTACGGGAAAACTGCCGTAAGGGATTTGGGGCCCGGGACGATATTGTGTATTATTCTGGTTTCCTTCCGGATAGTTCTGATTATAGATACCATTTTCAGGTGCTTGGGTCCTCACCAAACTCGCAACTGCGAGTACAAGGAACGTACACTTCATCTTCTGTGAATAATAACAAAATTCATTACATTCAAAATAATAATCGAATATTTTTATCGTCATTATTTATAATCTTTCAAACCTTATTGACTAGACATAACGTGTTTATATTGCTCAAAACAATTTCAATGCTACGTATAGTAAAACTAATCTTCTGCACTATATTTTCATAAACGAATAAGAAAAATAATAAATATTATAAACAAGGCTGCCTCGCCCAAATCAGTATTCCGTCATGCAGTGTTGCCACGTTTCGTTTTGAAAAGTAACGCCTTTTAAAGATCTTGAAAGAGCTACTCGAAAACTACTATCGCATACATCCTAAACATTACTTTTACGGTAGAACTCAATCGTCCGTAGCCACGAAAACTTTAGTGTTCGAAAAGTAAAAGCAGTTTTAGTAATGTCTATGACATACGAATACTAATGAAAGTGATGGCTTTAACCAAAACCAAGTACTATTTTAACATATAAGGTCGCTTTCATTAGGTTTTATTGATATGTCGTTTCTAGTTTTGCCATTTAGATAAAAAACCTTTTATTTGTATTATAAACATGTACGCAGGAATAATAAAGTAACCTTATTTAAGTACGAAATAACTTATCGCCCTGACACGGATCACTTCTAGCTCTTCCTTCCTTAGATTGAGCACTAATCAACATTTTAGGCTGTTGTAGTTCTCTTTTTTTTTATATCTTGAAGCATGATTTACCTTTTTGGGTTAACCATAAAACATTTCAACTAAAAAGTGTAGAAATTAGTCTAAAAATAGTTAAAGTGGCAACAAGAAAATCGTCCGTTTAACAGTAAATCAACCGTCATTTTTTTCATAATTATCGTGATCTTTCCGTATGAAGTCTTGAGGCTGTTATGTGAAATTTATTTTCGCGCGGAAAAGTTATAATAATAACAACTGTATGTAGTTTAACCTTTTAATAAATATTTTTAATTAAAATTGTCGCTTAGCTTCATTTATTTACCAAGTATGCTTTTGAACGAAAGTAGAATGAATGCACAGATTAGTATAATAGTTACTGCGTAAAATGAATGAAGGAAAATCAAGCTACCACTTAGTGATGTCACTGATGTCTAAATATTAGTGTGATATCTGATATTTGATTTGTTGTTTTTGAATCGATTTTTGTTCATGTAAAACCTTTATTGTAAAATTTCACCAATGAAACTAAAAATGATATAAGTATAATTTAAATATAACTTCTCTTTGTAGCACGAGATGAAATCAAGTTTAAAAATTTTTTATATAATCTTTCGATCTGAATATTGAAATTTTAACTATTTTTATTAATTAATAATCATTAGACATCTAAGAAAATAGTATTCAAGGCATATAAAGTTGGTTTTTTTCCAGATTCACCCAAATAGTTTAGTGTAAATAATAAAAAGGAATATTTTTTGTGTTTTTGCATCTTTACCCTCTATGCATTCCTAAGCCATTTAAAAGATTGTGCTAATACAATAAAACAGTTACAGTGACACATAGCACTTCAAGGAAGTTTTCTGTCATAATTATCATCAAAGTGCGACGTGTGGCTTCAAGAGACACATTAGTGTCCGATACTCCGGATCCACTCTAGGTGCTTTTATGCATTCCAAGCACCGGCTATTAGCAATAGGTGGCAAAAAAAGAAACGTGACTGGCTTTCAGTAGTGTAGATATGATTTAAAGAAATCGACTGAAGCAGTTAGGTACCTACTTTTGAGTTGCTAGGCCTCCTTTGAAGGCGCTCGGGTAGCTGTTAGCAAATTCCGCCCCTATTTGCTGAGCCCATGCTCGTTCACCTGTTCTGGTAAAACTGTAAAAGCCTCCGGGCCACCAATAATCCCTCAATAATAAAAAAAAAAGAAAAAAAATCGACTGTTTGATTAGAGATTCATTTATTTGATTACAATGAATAAATGGTAACAAAATATCTGAGTAGTTAATACCTGAGGTGTAGTAGGTTATCGGTGCTCTAAACGCCTTATTTTTAAATTACGTAATGGATGAATGTATATTATATATAAGTTTAGTGTATAAATGTCTCTGTTTAAGAACATAGTTTACGAAAAGAAAGTTACCTCTATGGAAAAAATCTCATTACATTAGGGTAGAAAAACACCAGTATTTAATGACGAAAAAGACTTCCTATTTTGCTAGTTTTATGTCTCAACATTCAGTTTTATGTTTCAACTTAACATTTTATCACAGATTATTGTTGTCATGTAAATAAAACTAGAAATGAAAGGTTTTAAATAATCATTTTTTATTGAATTATGAACATTCACATTTTTATTTTCCATATTATCAACAAGAAATGTGTCATTAATTACAATAATACTTACATTGTAGATAATGCTAAAACATAGTATTACGCGTGTTTCATTCGGAAAGTACACATACAGCACTATTACAACATTTATTTCAATAAATTCCCACCATTTCCGCACTCATGATAGTTTCCACTAATAATACGTCATCACAGATCAACAATGTACTTCTTCATTATATTCTCCACAAAGAAGGATATTAGGGCGGATTATGACCTCGTGCTACGCCAAATACTCGTATATCCCAAAATAATATGTAAATATCAGAGTTTAAATTATTATATCAATTATTCAATACATCACGATTTCATTGAGTGCATTCTGATTTTGCTCCTTAATAAATTACAAAATAGTTTTTTGTTATTTTAATTATTATTCAATTTTATTTACAGTAGATATGCTTTATAATTTGATTTCATAAAAAATAAAAAAGTTGATTTAACATAATTTTTTTTTTTTAATAAAACATGAACCATATGTTTTACATATAAAGAAAAATATTTCTATAAACATATTTCGATCAAAGAACATTAGCAAACATAACAAGGAAACAAAAATATATATATGTATGTAGTTATTTTTTTATTTATAGATTGCAAATTTTCTATTTAGCATAATCCCAACATTTTATTTTATAACTGTACTTAGGTGATGTACAAAAAATTTACTAAATGAACATATCACTGGAGAGTGCAGTTATCAGACGACTGCACTGGAGTGCTTTACGCCCACAAGACAAGTGCACTTGTCTTCATTAGATGACACCGAGTGCAATTCGTTCTAAGGCTTTAATCCGACCCTGTGACTGACATAACGCCCGCATCAAATTCATTCTCACCGTGTTAAGTTCTCACGTATACTATTGCACACACAAAGATTATGCTAACAACTTATTTTATGGTAACTATTACTTTACTATGAAAATCTACTTACAGAACTAAACGCAGCAAGCGAAATACTTACACTACCCGATAAACCATACACCAATTTAAATAGCACCCATGAGAATATCATACATTTAAAGCAACATTTATACGCAAAAGAAATCTTTTTAATTTTTATATACAATATTTACAGCAGTTGTTCAAATAATTTCGTACAAAATATCCGTAAATAAAACGTAATGACAAAATTTCAATTATTCATTTTCAACGGATCGTTGAAGCGTTACAAAAGCTAGATCATAACAGAAAAATGAAATTAATGATTACACAATGGCTGCCCTTAAATTATACAGTCTCATGAAACTAATATAACAGAATATTGTTCTTAAATGAGATACAAAGTTACGTTACAGTAGTCAGTCCAGAGTTGAAGATCTTTTGAACTGTCTTCTGTTGCTTCCAATACTGTGAGCGAATGAGCATATTCCCTTTGGTCGCGACGAAACAAAATCATCGTTGATAGACCAAAAGCTCCACAAATACACATTTCATAAATTTGTCAATCCGGATAAAGATTTAGTCATTATATTCAATTTAATAAAGTTTATATTGGAATATTTGAGTTCGATTTGAACTCCTACGATTTAACATTTATTTCAATCATACATATTTATTTATACCAACCGAGCATTATCGACGTCGTTGAGTTAAACTTGAACAAGTCACAAATATTGAGTTTTTTTCCTACGATTTGTGACTTCCAATATTTAGCAATGATCGATTTCGAACTAAGAATCTCGACACATATAGTAAGTAAGCACTGTGTATTAATTTTGTTTTATTTTTCATTTCTTGAATGCTGATACATGAGATTTTCATTTCAAACGTCGAGGGTTGTGAGTTAAAATTAATGTCAGCTAACAAGCACTGTTTCTATTTTCAAGAGTTGCCGCAGTTTATCCGTGACTCTGATCAGAGCCACTTTGGAGGCTCGGATGTTGACCTTCTCGCCGGCGCAGATGAGCTGGTGACACTGCGCTCGCTCCAAGAACTCCTGGGTTCGTATTTCACGAAGCAACTCCTTTGGGGAACCAGATCCGCAATGGATTTGCTTCAGTAGACTGTCTTTTGATTTAATCTGAAAGTAATGTCCGTCAGTTTTATTTGTTTGTTTGATAAATGTTTGGGTAAGCTTAGTGTGGGAAAATCGTATTGTATTATAAGTACATACTTGGTCGAAAATATTTTCATATTTTTTGTTACTAATTTATTTTCATTAATAAATAAAATCAAGTTTTCTTACTAGAGATATTCTGTTGTATATAATTAGAAACATTATTTATCAATTGCAATATGCCCTTGATTGTGCTGTTATAAAATTTGAAATCATCTCTTTTTAAACTGTTACTTCATACAAAATACGACCTTATTCACCTGTAATAAATTAGTAATGTCCTGTAGCAGGCACCAGAGACCATCCGACGGCTGACCGGACCCGTTTTTGAGACTATAGAAGGGTGGTAGTGGTGCTTCTGTGCATTGTATTTCTATGGTCGCGTCGGGGGGAGGCGCGGGCGACGCGGGCGGTGGGGAGGACAACGGGTCGCAACCTATTTCTTCGTAATCTGAAATAAATATTAAGATTTAAAAAATAACAGGAACGAATACCCCTTACATGAATAGCTCGTTAGGTTACCAACGATTGGAGAGATAAAAATCAAATAAAAAGAGATAATTTAAACATTAGGTATATACTACGGGGAGGTGGAAGACCTTGGCCCTCCTAGTTTCCCTCTTCCTCTCAGGAGGCGCCGGAGTCCGACATAACCCGGTTCGTTACCCCCCTTGACCGGGTATTAGTAAATGGATTACCCATCGTTTAAAAAAAAAAAGGTACATATTATTTCAAAATTGATTAAATAGCATGTTGTCGATTACAAATACTTACCTATGACGTGCGTGGGTGGTGGAAACCTCCACGGCTCGATGGCCTGGCCCTGCACGTCAGCGATGTGAAGTCGTAAGAAC